TTGCCGTGAGATAGAGGAAATGGACACTGCTATCTTATAGAGCGTAAAAAATAGAGAAATAAACAACAGTTACATCTGCAACTGCAAACTGACTATAATATCCACAGCACCTTTTTGTAGTGCATCCATTAATGAGTTATGAAATGTTTTTTGTAATAGCCAAGGAATTAGGGAATAGGAGATAGGAAATATGGAAAAAAAAAGTGTGTGGAGTGGTTACCTTGATGAAAACTAAGACACTTTTCATTTATGGCTAGAGGTCACTGCAATAGTTGTATATTGCATTTGTAAGTACCGTTTAGTGCCGTTAAAGTTCCGGCTGACGGCCTGAGTTAGTTATCACAAGTTTTGCAGCAATAGTTAATGAAGGTGATATTTGTATGTAAATGATATTGTCCTCCTTCCACCTGTACATGAATTTTACTTTTTGATTTACAGCTCTACATTTCTTCCTTTGTGTAGAGTATGTTCTAGGGTTATTATTTTTTCAAAGTGTTTCTTATTGAAATACTTACGCATTATATGATGGCGATACTGTAACATGACCAGCGTTATCTGTAAGCAATATTATCAGAAGAGGTATATGGTATTTGTGCATACAAATTGAGGCTGTTTGAATGTTAGCATAAAATCCATGCATTTCTGTAAATTTAATGCTCTTTTTTTCTGATTGCAGATGGAAAATGGACACACTCTTTTTGACTACAACATCAATATCAATGATGTGATTCAACTAATGATAAAGCCAGTCCTCTCAGAGATCAACTCCAATGTGCAGGCCAAAGCATCTTCAGCAAAGCGAGATGGAGAACAGGCTGACAAGGAGAATGCTAAGGTAAACTAAAGATGCTGTGTTTGGTCCTTTCACTTTTTACTTGTCTATTTAAAATTCCATATTGGATGCCATGATACTTTCTTACTGATTGGCTGGTAAGAGACAGGATAAATATATGATGTGTGATAGTTCTGAGTTAAGTGATTTATTCACACTCAATGCATATGTTTTCCCAAAAGTATGTGAAGCTTGACTATGTGTATGTTTATAAATGTTTGATATAACTTCTTGGTATTTCACAGGACTTTGGACATTTACTCTTTTATTCTGATATATAGTCTTGGCTTATTGCAGACTGACTCAGAAGTTAAGAAAAATTCAGATGTGCAGGAGAGTCAGTACTACAGAGTGGGAGACTTGATTGATGCGAAATCTTTGTACGATGGAACCTGGTGGGAAGCAAAAATTAACAAAATCACAGTAAATCCCAAAGCTAAGGAGATATCTGATGAAGATGATGGTATGCTTTACCATGTCACACATGAAGGGTAAACATCTTTATTTTTTTGTAAATGTGCATTTGATTTACTTATTTTGAAATTGTTGTTAGTAAGTTATTAATAATGAAAAAATTCTAACTTTTGATTTTATTTTTATGGTAAGGTTTCATCTTGTTTCTTTTCATCCTGAGATGAACTATTAAAAAGTATCTGCTATATATAGGTTTGAGGATGACCTGCCTGAAGAGCTGTTGCTGAAGCACGTTCGACCAAGAGCCTTTCAGAAAGTCGAATTAGAGGATGTTTGTAAAGGAGACATTATTATGGCTAACTATAACATAGAAAATCCAGAAGAAAGAGGACACTGGTATGATTGCAAAGTAAGTTTTTTATATTTTATCTTTTTTCATAGATTCTTCTTATTTTTTCTTACTGTTTACTACTATTGGTTTGTTTTCAGAATGTATTATTTTGATATCATTTTTGCTAGTTCTCAGTGTATTTTCTGATTTCTTTTTTAATATGAATTATTATATTTGCATTCAATAGGGGATGGTTGTTGATATTGTCATTGCAGAAGGGATATTTTTACCATCTTATAAAGGGAAATACTTTTGCAGTCAGTCTTTCTTTTAATTATCCATTTCCCAGATTAATATATTTATGTTTATCATCCAGAAGAAAAATCTCTTCATGATGTATATAGTTTTAGACACTTAACTGAAGTAGCTTCTCTCACTGTTGGTCATCTTGGTTAGAATCCATTGGGAACAGTTCATATGAAAGTAACTAATGAACCTGTAGCTAGTCAATATACATTACTACTTTTGTATATCTAGGTAATTAATAATGTTAATGTATATACATAGTTTTGATTTTTACTTCAGGTTTCAAAGGTTATGAATTCAAGAACCCAGAAGGCAGTGGTTGCAACTGTATTGATTGGAGCAGACTCCTCACCAATGGATGACTGTTATATACGCTTTGTTGATGAACTCTTTAGAATAGAAAAAAATATTAAGTTAGACGAGAGGAATGGAGATATGGAGAGAAGAATCGTAGAAGGATCTCCTGTTAAGCGTAAGTTTTTTTATTCTCTTCTTTTCTTTTCTTTCCTTTCCTTTTCTCATTATGATACAGTGGAATTGATTTTAATTATGATTCCAGAAGTGGGTAGCTTTTATAGATGCTATGCAAGGAAGAAAGTTGCAATTCACTTTACCTTTGTTAGTTACACTTGACTATCACAATTAATCACTGGATATTGACATTATTAGTCACCATTGGTTATATTTTGAAACAAATCCTTGTTATGATCTTTGAGTGGAGAGATATTTCTCTCTCTCTTCTTGTATTCTTCATTTCTTTATTTATTCTTTATTCTGTGAAAGATCTTGTCCTAATAGGTAAAAATGCACCAAACTGCGCAACATGCAAGGACAACCCAAAGCGCAAATGTAAGGAATGTGGTTGCCATGAATGCGGTGGAAAAGAGAATCCGGAGAAACAGCTCATGTGCGACGAGTGCGACTTGCCCTACCACATCTACTGTCTCACTCCACCCATGGAAGCCATACCTGATGTGGACGAGTGGTTTGTATAATTCTTAGTTTTCAAAACTAATCAAATTGTTGCATCAGCCCTAAGTAATTAGAGATGTATCTGATTCTATGTTTTAAATTGTTGGTGTTATAAGATATGAATAGATGTGTATGTGATATGATATTTGATATTTCCTAGTGCAAATTTGCTATCTCTGAAATTCCCACGTTTTTTGAGATTACATCCATCACTGGTAAGAGGCATCAATGAATTTGAAAGGAGGGCTTCTCTAGCACTTTATTTCTAATGAAATAAGAAGGGAATTTATCTGGTGTTTTATATCACAAGCTGAAAGATGATTGGAGGGAATCTGCAGAAATGTAACAATTTTTTAACGTGCTTTATGTTTTATCTTAAAGAACCAGCATATTTTATCTTTATTTGTGTTGAGTAGCAGGTAAAAGAAACTGATATTATATAAGAATTAGATTATAGTTAAGTATTGTAAATATTAGTTTGCTCATGTAGATGCAGTGCAAAATACACATTATATCTCAAGACATGATGCCCATGCCTAAAAAGATGTAGAGATAGATAGGGATATTACAAACTCACCTATGCATATTAGCTTTGTACAAGTTGTACTTCAATATAAAAAAAGAAGATAACTAATAATCTTACCTTTTCAGGTTCTGTCCATTGTGTAAGAATGATGACACAGAAATTGTCAGAGCTGGTGAAAAGTTGAAGGAAAGCAAGAAGAAAGCAAAAATGGCTTCTGCTAAAGGCAGCACATCACGGGATTGGGGGAAGGGATTTGCCTGTGCAGGAAGGCAAAAAGTTTGTACTATTGTTCCACAAAATCACTTCGGAGCAGTCCCAGGTGTTGAAGTGGGAACAATGTGGAAGTTCAGGTTACAGGTAAATTACAAATTGCTCCATTATTATTACTGATATTACTGATATTAATAATAATGAACACTTTCTCTTTCTCTTTCTTTCTCTCTGGTACTGATAATGTATTTTTTCATTATTTCATGTAGCCCTTTTTCTGGGACTGCAAATGTACAAAATGTGAAGCTTTCTTTTAATTATATTATTATTTTTTCCAGTAATTCAGTCCCATTTTTATACTCTATAATGAAATTTGCCATCTTCCACTTCAATGTCAGGCATCAGAAGCTGGAGTACATCGTCCACATGTTGCAGGAATTCATGGACGTGAGAATGAAGGGGCTTACAGCATAGTTCTTTCTGGAGGTTACGAAGATGACGAAGATAATGGGGAAAGTTTCACGTACACAGGCTCTGGAGGCCGTGATCTCTCCGGCAATAAAAGAACAGCTGAACAGTCTAGTGATCAACTCTTGACTAGGATGAACAGGTGAATCTACAGAATTAGTATAGTATTTGATTTTGTAGTTTATGAGAGGACTTTTTTAGGATCCATAACAAAACCTACAGTGAAGGGTACATGTGATAGGGATCTTGAGTTTGTGTGAAAGCTACAAAACCATGTCAATGACTTGTTAAAAATAACTGTATTATAAGTATTTACTAAATGGTCAGAAGGTTACTACAAGAAATATAGCAAAAAAAAAAAATAATAATAATAATAATGCTGGTAGTAGTTTGTAGAAAAAAAGAAATTGGATTTGCATTCCATTTATCCATTTGGTCCCCAACTAGTGATCACAGAGTTATCAGGGATTATAAAGTTGTGGAGGAGGGGGGATCATAGGCCAAGTTGCTTGGCATTCATCAGTGTTAATATGAAGAACAGAATGTGAAATCATTTCTGCAAAGAATGTTACATCACAATTAGGTAGCTCAGAATTATGTAGTAACAAAAATAATAGATTAAATGATTGATATCAAGGGGTCATGCTTGCATTGAAGTAGACAAGTTAATGATTAGTTATTTTGGAATATTTTCATAAGTTTTGTTTCATATGTTTCATACTTGTTAGGATCTAATTTAATTGCATTTTCTGTTAAAGCATTTTATAGTCTGTATTTCCACTTCTTAGTATTTTGTATAAATAATTAATTGACACTCTTCATACTGTTGTCTGTTGCAGAGCTTTAGCTCTGAATTGTAATATACCTGTAAACAAGAATGGAGCTGAGGCAAAGGATTGGCAAAAGGGGAAACCTGTACGTGTTATCCGGAACTGCAAAGGGAGAAAGCATTCAGAATATGCTCCAGAAGAAGGAAATAGGTAAGTCAACATTTTTATCATCTAATATGTTAATTAGTTTCAGTAATTTGATTTATAAAGAATAAATAAATAAATTTAAAAAAAAATAATTAGATATCCTTATATGAACATGAATTTTTCTTCTTCCTTTTTATCAGATATCTGTACTTCAGAAGGTTATAGTTTTAAAAGCATCAGTTTAACTGTTTGCATATAGCATGTTTAGTCAGCACTGTCATTAAGATTTATGACACTTTGTAGATTATTTTGATTAACTTTCCTGCAATCCATCTCTGCTCTTAGGTATGATGGACTTTATAAAGTTGTGAAGTACTGGCAAGCAAAAGGGAAAAGTGGATTCAAAGTGTGGCGTTACCTCTTACGAAGGGATGACCCTATTCCCGCCCCTTGGACTAAAGAAGGCAGAAAGAGAATACAGGAATTAGGTTTAGAGATGGAGGTAAGTTGTATGTTCTGATTCAGCCAGCTTTACTGTTTACTAATTTACATTTTGATTGTATTTCCAACTTATGATTAATAAATAGGGATAAGAGATTGTATGAATATAGAATTGATAGACTAAGGCATTCTCCATTATATTCTTGGAGTATGACTAGTACTTTTTATCTGTGATTTGATTATTTCTTGAAGTTTAGTGTTCAGAATTCTTTGGATACACTTTTGTTAATATCTTTTGTCTGTTTCATTTGGATGTGCCTGTAGGCCAAACTCCCTTCCCCAGTAGTTATTTCATTGACTGGTTTTGATTATATATTCATCAGCCATGTATGTTAGATATATATTATGTATATTTTTTTCTTGGCATGGAAAAGACCCAGCAAGGGTGTGGAATTAAGGAATTAGTCAATGTATATTTCACTAGGTAAACTCTCCCATCACAGCTTAAACTGCCGTAGGAAGTAGATTAGGTACACATAGAAATAGTTGTAAGTTGTGGCAACTGATTAGTAATTTTGTTGCAAATAATAACATATGTCCACAAAATATATATAATTGACAATAATTGCAATGTAATCAATTTGTAATTACATAAGTAAACTTTGATTTCAGTATCCAGAGGGCTACCTTGAAGCTCAAAAGGAGAAAGAGGAATCTGCAAAGAAGGAGAAAGATGCATCATCTGGAAGTGATGATGAAGGCAAACAGAAGAAAAAGAATTCCAAGAGAAAGAAGAGCATGGAGACTGAGGCAGAGGCAAGTACACCATATTTACACTCATTAACCGAAAGGAAGAAAATTGATTTTAAATTTTTCTAAAAATATTAGGCATTACTTTAGAAGATAGGTTCCGTTGTTGATAACTATAGCAGAACGCATAACCCAACCACCACCATTTATATACCATTTCATGTGCTCAATGTGTTCTATGAACTAGAACTTGAGGCCAACTGAATGTTGTGCTAACACCAGTTTGCAGCATCTTAATACTAAAATAAGATGATAATAAAAAGAGATATGCTTCAACATTCAAGAGATGCCTGATGCACAAAATTAGATGCTGGATGCAAGGAACACGTGCAATTGAACATTACCCAAACAGATAATGGGTGGTGCATGACTTATTTATTACTGCATCTAGTAAAATGGTCCATTTAGCTATCTTTATTATTACTGCAGTCTTCTCATCCTTAAATTTATCTGCAATTTTTTTGTTGGGTTACTATTAATTAACCAATTATTTTTCTTTGTAGAAATCTGAAAATACACCTTCAAAGTCAAAGAAAAGAAAAACTACAGGATGTTCTTTGGAAAAGGAAATTGAAAAACTGATTGCCAAAGATGAAAGTAACCATAAACTTTGGGAAGAGAGTAAACAGCTCTTAGAAGAGGGACGATCAGTAAGTAGCATTTCTCACCAATGTCTTAAATATTCTTTGTGTTGTAGATGCATCTAATTGATAATGAAACTCAGTTGTTTAGCATGAGAGCAAAAAATATATTGAATAAAGGTAGACACTTTAGAATATTTATTTGTATAATTGCAGTATACTTATAACTTATCAACTTCGAGCATATCATTTTTTTTTTTACCATATTATTGAGTGAGTGAATAAGCAGAAATTTATTTGTTTTTTGAAATTTCAAATATTAGTAATGAAAGAGTAGGTGATGATAGGCATCACTGAAACTACAAAATGTTGGAAGAGGGCATACCTTAAAATATTTGACCACCCCTCAAAAACAACAATGTTATGGAATCTTCAGCATTACGATAATAGATTCTGATATTACTGAGATTAGTGTTAATATGAAATTGAATTTCTTTCAGAGCTTTTTGACTGCAGTGGAAGAAAGATTCTTGTGCATCTGCTGTCAAGAACTTGTAGTGAAACCAGTTACTACAGAGTGTAAACACAATGTTTGTCAGGCATGCTTACAGAGATCTTTTAAAGCTGAAGTATATTCATGTCCAGCATGTAGATATGATTTAGGTAAAGGATATGCAATGACAATTAATAAGCCATTAAGCGAGTGCCTAATTAAACTCTTTCCTGGCTATGATGTTGCACGTTAGTATGTCGTTTAAGAACTAAAGAATTCCTTCATTTATGTCATTGACATTTTGGACTATTTTTGCCCACAAGAATTATCTTATTTAAAGTAAATCTCTAATTACTATTTAATGACATTGATTTCTTCCTGTCATTTAGTCAGTATTTTGAATTCTAAAGGAAGTTTATGTATTCCATTTTTTCCATGTATTTTCCAAAGTATATCCATTTGTAAAATCATTCATATCTAACCTAATTTATCAGATACTTGTGCTTTGGTTTATAGTTTGCCTTGGTATGTTTCAGAAGTTTATTTAGAAAAATAGTGGTAAATGATGTGTTTGTATTTACCATCTAGTTCTTTCAGCATCTCCAGTTATATTTTGAGAAGACATTGCTACATTCCTTTTTTTTTTTGTGTGGAGGGATTCTGTATATACATCCCAGTGTTGATAGGTATTTTTATAATCTTCAAAGAAGGAGTTTTTACTTTTTTGGTACTTTCTTTATTTACAGTATGTTATCTTTTAAAGTTGGAAATGTAATATTAGACCTCCAAAGTCCTCTAGATTATGTGTACTAGTAGAAGAAAGATTTGTATACAGTACATGTACACAGGCTCACACATATACACGTGCACCCACAAATTTTTAGATTATTATTAGTATTTTATTTTCTTCCTAACATTTAGTTTTTATGCCATCATCCATAGTTCATTATGTATCACATGTAAATAAATATAGATAATGGAAGTTCTGTAATTGATTAATAAAATAAATTGTAAAGTCATCTGCTGAAGTTCTATGATAGTACCCAGTCCTTAGAGCAGGGGTTCCCAACCTAGGGTCCATGCAGTACTTTCTGGTGAGCTGTGGAGCAATATGAAAATTATGACATTGCATTGAACAGGATTTTGTCTCACATACAGTACCTACATATAATTCTCTCTCACAAATCAGAAAATTGGAATCTTTCCATATAGTGTTCTTGTCCTGTAGCTATTGGCTCCAGATATATGGTTTCAATAATAATTTGAATCTTGAAAGATGACAGACACTGAACAGGGCCATAGAGATTTTCATGTACTGGTTGAACACACAGAACAGAAAAGATTATGAAATACTGCTTTAGAGGATCAAAAAATGAGCATATTCCTCCAGTTTATTTGCAGTTGACATCAAAAATACAGAGGAAGTCTTTCTGCAACACCATTTTACCTCTAAAGGACCAGTAAAATGCAGTTTTGTCTGCTTTTCACACCTTTGTTTCAGCTTTAACCATTCTGAACTTTATATTATGGATGATTCAAATTTTTTAATGATTTTTGTCAAGTTTCATCAATTGTGCACATATCCTTGAGAAAGAGATGGTTCATCTCTTATGGGTTTGTGGGTAATATGTAATGCAAAACACTTTCGTTTTATAAGCATTTACTTCATAGCCTAAAATACACTCGCCACATTTATTTCCCCAAGATTTTATTTTTGGATACTAAACATCACTTTCCAGTTTTGTCATACTCATTTATGCTTGAACATATATTTGGCAACAACCTAAATGAAATAAACTTCGACAGCATGCAAGTCATATATTGTGTATCCCAAACAAAAAAGAATATAGCCATGTGATATATGACCTGCATTAGAAACAGGTGACCAGCTACTGTTTGTAATGTCTAGTAATCATAAGAGAATGCTATGACCATCTATTGTCTGAAGTAAATGAAGATGTGCTACCTTATGTAAACAATTTACTGTGAATGGAGAATCAACAGTAGAGTGCTAAATGTTGAATTGTTATTTATGCAGAAGAATCCAGTAAGAAAATAAAATAATTCAGAGATAAACGTTACCTTCATGTAAATGTGGATTTTAATCTGACATTACATATGTAGATTGTAATATTCATTTTACATGGTAAAAACTGCAGGATAATTTAAAAGAGAAGAGGCTGCAGTTATCTTTTTGGTACACATTGTAGTGTGCCAGCCACATTTGTAGATATGCACACAGACATCACTGGTGAAATATTAGAAAAAAAGGAAAACAATCTATATATTGTGTTCATCAATACAACAATAATTTCCTGTAATAAAACTGGTTGAACTATGCCAAGAATTAGTAAACAGTTAAGAAAAATAATATAAAAAAAAATCCTTACATAATCACAAACCAGCATAATGAGGCAACATGAATAACAATTGAGCTTTCAGGCTTAACTGTGCACTCCAGTCATTCAAAAATTTATGAATTATGCAAATCTCCAAATTTAGAATATCCCGAAGCATTTTTCCTTTATTTAATACTAGAGGTAAGTGATCATTTTCTTGGTTTCTCATCTTATTTTGGAATTTCTCTTGTACTGATTTTTCTACCAAGGTGACTGCCCATCCACTTTTCTTCGTTCTAAAACTGAATTTGCTATTCTTTTAAGGGATAACTAGAGCTGATAGCCTCTGTGGTTTATTATATTGAACTTAAGCAATTGAAATTGATATCATGAATTAATTTTGATAACTACCCCAAAACTAATTTGATAACATTACAGAAGTACTCCACTTTAAGCTTACTACTTCAGTAACTTCAGCATTCTTACTTTTCCATTCACTCATATATTAATTCATCTGTTCTTTCCTTGTTTTTCTCCTCCTCATTCTCCATTCTCTCTCAACCCTTTCCTTCCTTTATTCATTGTTTCAAGCTCTTTCTGTCTGGCTGCTTGAACTGTAGGTATCAGTAGCTTCCATGGTTCACTGCTGGATCATCCTAATTCTAGAGCTCAAACTGATTACATTCTACTGTTAGCTCTTGTACTACGTGTGTCATCGTGAACATTAAACAGACCTATGAAAATATCAATAACATCCCTATCAGACACAGTAGCAACATTGGCTTATCATGTGTGATATCATCAAGGCTTTCTGCATCTTTCTTTAATTCACACTTGGCTCACCAGGGTGATTTTTATCAAAATTACTTTTCATATTGAATTTATTTGTTGATGAATATTATCATATTATACCAGAGATTATGTATTGTCAATATAAAAATATGACTGGCAATTACTTACTTGCAGTTAGTGTCTTCCCATAGAACTGTAGGCAACTTTTTTTCTCACTATTACAAGTGAATATATATTTTTAATTTCATATAGTTCCATTTAGTTGCTCTTCTTTTCTATTCAATAAATGCAAGTAAATCCTCCAACTGGTAAATTTTAAAAAGTGAGGCTCAACATTAAATCAAATTTCATATATACTGTAATTCCTTGAGATGGTATTGATTAAGCCCTTAGCTCTCTGTATATTATGTTCATACATACCTAAGAAATGGTCTTTGACAAAGTTAAAATACTTGGCAAACAACTCTATTTATGCAGTGCAGAGAGGCATATGATGTAGTGTATTGATTTAAAGTATTGGGTAAGTTTCATACACAATATTTACATTTTTACATAAACTTAAATGATAAAAGACAGTGAAACCCATACTCTTTTTTATCATTTATGTTCCATGAGTTTTTTATTCCAACTATCTTTTCCATACCTTTCTCATTTGATACTTCATATTGTCACTTAACATCATCATTAATATTACAAATAAATAAATAATCCATTTGATATTTTTCAATTTTCATACTATCTGAGCAGTGTGAATCTTTAATGTATTTCTATACACAACATAAAAGAAAAAACTGATAATGAACAGCTAATGTTATCTTTATTTCCTAAAATGTCAGCTTTATTAGCAACATACCAGTAAGAAACCCAACCTTGACTATATCTACTTTCAAGGCTCTCAACACCTTCACACACACATTGGTCAGTGGAAGCTTTGTAACCCTGCCTATGTTGCCAGAACTCAAGTCATTACAGACATTTTTGGTCAGATATTACTGCACTAATTATCATGTATGTTGCTATTTATATACAAGTTCCATGGCATAAGAAATTCCGAAGTTAATTTCAAATTGATCTTTGAGTACTGTTTTTGTTTGCAGTAATGAAAATTAAAAATACAAGATGTTGATATATTTATTATAAAGTTCTAAAAAAAAAATTAAATAAATTGCAAAGTCATCTGACACCATATTTGGAATAATAAAAACTTAATTTGTAACCTTTGACACTGGAAGGTATTACACAATTCTTTTTGGAATATTTTCTTATCAACAGAGAGGAGTTTTCTTCAGATAATATTAGCCATGAAAACCAAGTTGAAATCGGTTAATTATGCATCTAGCAGTTGACAAAAATACAAGTTTTGGTGTATGGTATTTCATATGCAGGCTTAAAACAAAATGCTGATTTTATTTCTGAACCTAGGATAATATAGAAAACTGAAGGCTTGTCCACACAAGTGGGTATGATCAGCAGACACCTGTAAAGATGATGTTACATGCAAGAAAACATTAACTCCTTGCTTACCAAGCAGTTTGTTCGTCTGTGATATCATCTCCCCTCATGCCCATTGATCATATCAATTTGTGTGAAGATTGATGAAAAATTCTTAATTGATTGAAACTATATCTTTAACCATTTTCATTGAAGGGGAAAAAATCTACAAATGCAACCTTAATTCTTGAACAAAATACTGAATGCAAGGATTCATATTTTTCCTATGAATGAGACTTTAGCAAGACCTCAAACTCACGGCAAAATTTCAGAGGGTTATCTTTTGCATTCCCAAATAAAGTAACACAGCATAAAGATAGAACTGCAGCTTCATCCTATGTCAATAACTGTATGCATACAGTATTAAACTTGTAAGGTTCAAATCATCTAACTTTACGTTATTGGTCAATATGTTAGAAACAAAATGTGTTAACTAGGTACCATAATCCTGGTTTCAATCTTTAATTTCTTATTTTGCAAAAAAGATCAATCATTTTGCTTATCATTTGTCCATATTTCAAATCTTTATGTATAAAGCACACTAATAAATTACTGAAATAATTTATTGAATTTTTGAACCTTCATGTATATTCATAAGTATATTCATTGTGCCCAAGACCGTAACTGTTGTCAATTCTTAATATACAATGCCATCATCTAGCAACAGAGTAAACTTGGGTAGCATGGAGCAAGCTGAAGCCAAACATGCAAAGAAAAAAAAAAAAAAAAAAAAAAAAAACGAAAAAAAAAAAAAAGTAAAGTAAAGAAAGAAAATGGACGGAAAAGTCTACTCTATTTTGCTTTGTCTAGACAGATCAGAATCTTTTAATTATCAAAGTAAACAAGATTCCTTGCCCAAGGCTACCCAACTCAGTATAATTACAGTTAAACACTGCATCATGATTACTTATTCACAGGCATCCTGGTAATGATCTGGACAATCAACAATGCTTGTTTCTGAATTTTTGTTCAGATATATATGCGATATATATATACTATCACACATTCCACTTTGTACTATGGATCTGCCAACAAATAATGCAAATAATTCATCTAAGTTTGTGCCTGTAACAACAGGAGATGCAGGAAGGTTTTCATTATAATGTACTTATTCCTTGCCAACTTCAAAAAAAAAAAAAAAAAAAAAAAAACGAAAAAAAAAAAAAAAAAAGTAAAGTAAAGAAAGAAAATGGACGGAAAGGTCTACTCTATTTTGCTTTGTCTAGACAGATCAGAATCTTTTAATTATCAAAGTAAACAAGATTCCTTGCCCAAGGCTACCCAACTCAGTATAATTACAGTTAAACACTGCATCATGATTACTTATTCACAGGCATCCTGGTAATGATCTGGACAATCAACAATGCTTGTTTCTGAATTTTTGTTCAGATATATATGCGATATATATATATACTATCACACATTCCACTTTGTACTATGGATCTGCCAACAAATAATGCAAATAATTCATCTAAGTTTGTGCCTGTAACAACAGGAGATGCAGGAAGGTTTTCATTATAATGTACTTATTCCTTGCCAACTTCAAAAACCTAATCCCTTAAGTATTCAAACAATACAAGTTTAATTAAACAAAAAATGAGAGAATTTCTGTTTTTATTGGTCTATGTGTTAATCAATATCAAGTACAAAAAGCGTGGCAAGCCTCCGCCAGGGTAGTGACGGCCATAGTACAACACAAAAAACCAAAGACAATATGGGCTTCAGACATATGTACACATTATATAACCATCACTACCCCGTCAACCACCTTGACGGTTATTGATCAATATGTACAACAAAAGCTTTTGGGAGAACTGACAAGAAATTCTTAGCAGAAAATCTTTTAGAGAACAATTTTCTCCAGATTTTCCCTTCGGAATAACAAGAATGAAAAGCTTTCAGCTCTTGTGACAAAAAATTGAACTAGTCAATTCTTGTACCAAACGTCAATATAATAAAATGTTCATTAGAGATCTAGTCACAATGTTATGACTTTCCCACCACAGCATTCTTGATGGGGAAGGAAAACTTGCCATTTTTAAAGAGAATGATGCTTGATGAGATTGGAACAACGGAGAACTCTTACGCATAGGGATCCCTAACCTCTTGAACTCAGCTCAGGTAAGGGTCCCGTAATTAACTAGTGCTACCAGACTAGCAAGAACAAACCCAATGTAGATTTGCTCATTTTAGGAGCAGCACTAGTAGGTGTCTCATTTGGACTTATCCCAGGCTTGGGAAGTCACGTTCATCATCCATTTTCGGAGCCTCTTGACGGGGCATTCCTCGTCCTCCACGGCTGTTGAGGGCTCCGCCACGGCGCTCACCGCGGCCTCCTCCACGGCCACCGCGCTCCATTCGCTCACCACCACGGCCGCGGCCAATACCACCACGGCCACGTCCTCGACCACGACCCCTAGCTGGGGAGTCTGAGAACTGGAAATCAATATCAAGCAGAACTTTCCTGCGACCATGGTGCACTTCCTCCTCAGATTCTCCGTCATCAGATTCAACCTCAACCTCCTTTTTCTTGAGGACATAGGTCTTCTTCCACTGGGCCTGATTCTCTCCCTCGCCAGCACGTCGGATATTGAAAGAGGGCTTATTACGTGCACCCTGCATTGCTTTCCATTCATCAAGAGTCATTTCCTTCACACTCTCCTCTTCCTTAGGTTCCTCGCCTTCAGCATTAGCACCGGTGTCATCAGCAGGCTGTGCAATCAAAATATCAAAATTAATAGAAAGCTTAAGAGAAAGAAAATGTAAAAGTATACTCTAGTTTATATAAACATTTGTAAAAGCATTTAAAGCTTTAAAAACTCTTTAAACTGATTTCTTGAAAATTTTACAGGAAGCTATTACAAGATTTCTGGTTACAAATAGAACTATCATTCCCTTTCCTTTACCTTTTCTACGTTCTCTGTTGAAGAATCATGATCAGAATTTCCTGCAGGTGTAGCATTAAGCTGCTCTTCAATCTGGTCTTTGTCAGATCCCCAGTTATAAGATCCAGAGCCATCACGTTTGTCCACAGACTTTACTCCAGTTGTCATCATTCCACTCTGTCGGTCGAATTCACGTTTGCCGCGGTTGTCAGGGCCTCCAGGAGCTCCACGTCCTCTTCCGCGCCCACGTCCCATTCCACGTCCACGTCCCCTTCCCATTCCGCGTCCTTCGCCACCGTCAAATCTTTAATCAGGGAATAAAAGCTAGGTAAGTATAATCCTTCATTTTACATGCAATGAATGATGAACTACATATGCATATTAGCACAACATAGCTTTAGGGGATACTATATATACTATAACTGAAATAAATAATATCTAGTAACTTCTATTACCTAGGTGGAGGTCCATCTCTGAATTCCCCTTCCGGTCGGTTACGTCTATTGTTGCGTTCTTCACGGTCAGAAAACTTAACACGTCCATCGTTAGTGTTGGCACGTCCATCATTGGTGCGTGGTCCTTTCTGCTGGGTAGCTATAAGAAAAAAAAAAGTCAATCAATTAAATAAATAAATGAATAAAAAAAGTCAAAAGACAGAAGATGGAGGATTTGGCAAAACACATTATACATCATCACTACACTAGGAAGATTAAGTCTAAATCACCAGGCATTTACAAATGCCACTAATCTGGACACTTTACCAATTATATTAAACCATCCAATTCAAACAACTGTATGTATATCATGTTTATTACAATATATAAACAAACATCTAAACGCATACAAGACGGCGCAGTCCTGATCATACTCAGAACTCCCTTCACAGACTTTTCATAACCTTTTGCACCTAGCAGGTATAACTTTCACTGTGTCCAAATTACAATCACTATGCACAGATAGCCATTTATATGGTTATAGTGTTGGTTTATTGATTTCAAGTCATTGTTTAGTATGCACCACAAATCCCAGAGGTTTTACTTCCAAAAGTGGGGCTAGGAAGAAACTTTGGAAAGCCACATATATATCACCTTATCAATAGAGCCTACCAACCTTGAAATGGGCAAAACTAAACAAAGCACTTTAAATACCTGGACCTAGGCCATATAAGTACTTATTTACACCTGGTTGCAACAAATTAATTACATGTTTATGGACTCTCACATTAACATGCAATATTCCGAGAGAGGACATTGATGACTATCACCTACCATTCTAATCTGAGAGAAACTCCCTATACACCACTATTACAACTAACATGAGAAAGTTTCTAGAGTTGGTGTAAGACTACTCTGAGTGTAACTTACATCATATATATATTATATATATTATATATATTATATGTCAAAGAATGATTCCTAAATCAGACCAAAGAAAACAAGTATACTGGTCAATGTTTACATTAAATAAGTATTTTAGGACAATACATTTCATCTACACACACTGATTAAAGAAAACATGAAAAGAATCTTAAAAATTAAGTTTAAGATTTTAGACTAAAATCATAACCCTGGGGCTTTGTCCCGGATTCCCCCACCCAATTACCATGGACTTTTTGAGTGCACAGACCATTTATCAGTGAGGGTAATCTTCCCTTTTTACAAGTGCCCGCAAATAGTCCTTTCCGCTCTTTATGAGTGTAGTTTGTTTTCCCTATCTTAGTGGTCAAAATATAAATATAAGAGATCAAAATGTAAATATACAAGGTCTCTCTCTTTGTCCGGGCATCATATGATGTGTGCTGTACCTGTAACCATCAGTTAATGCTCCAAGGCATTCATATACTGATTTATAATAGTTTTACCATGTTTTTGTGTTATCCCCACATTTTCCCTTGGTTTATATCAAACCCAATCCTATAGCTTTAGTCTCCACAGACAAAATACATGTGGACAGATATAACCCTTTGCAAACAAATTCCTAGTTCATTTGTGCCAACAAGTTTAATACAATTACACAAAAATAATTCAATTAACTTCTATATTTAAAACATTTATTGACATCTTCAGAACATTTAGATTTTCCATTTTCTAACTTTAAATTGAAGGTTTTCAAACTTTCTCACATTTACATCATGAGTACTATAAGATAGGGGAAATTTAAATATAATGTTATGGGGGAAAAGTATATCAAGACATGTAAAATATGTCAGTATAGACAAAGAATAATGCCAGAAATGAAAACAAGTCATGACAAAAGCCACGAGTGTCTTTAGCAACTGGGTCAGCAGGTTGTCAGAGGTTCAGCCACTGGCTTAGGATATATGAACATTGGATGGGGGTCCAGGAACAAAGCACACTAGATTAGGAAGGTTTTAGGTTCATTCTTAACCCCTTCATGATAGGTGACTCCGATAAGCGTGACAACAAACTGCTCGAAATGTGGCGTGCGGCTGTATGCCACACGCCACCAAACGAAACTCCCGCACTGCCATGGTTCACCAGCGCATAGTTTTTTGTTTTTGTTTTCTTCACCCGTTACCATTGGGTTAAAGGCCTACCAGGTCTATTCCCTCCAATAGTTTTGTGCACTGATGACAAGACATACTGGACTCCAATTACTAAGAGCCAATCTTCTGTCATGTTCCAGTCACCCCAGCTCTCAGCCCAATTTTTCCAGGATGATATATTTACATTACCAACCAGTCCGCCTTCCCCCCCCCCCCATATCGACATCACCTTGATTCAACAGATTAACCATGCAGTTATCCACTTCTGCACAGTATATATACATAAGATTAATGTGTATGTATGAACGTGCACATGCCCACACACATTCCTCTGTGCATGAGCATGTGCATTTGTTTATAGGTACATAAGCAAATGTGTATTTGCTGTGTCATGTTGTAGTGCACTAGTTTAAAGTGTGCAAGCATGGGTTTTAGATCATGTAATAAACAAAAACTATGATGTGCATATTCACATTCTTGGCTCCAATAGCTGGGGAGGGTATGAATAGTACCATGGAAATTGCAAGCTAAAAGGTAACTGTACGGAGAATCAGTCACAATATTCTCTAATACAGGGAGCTGCAGCCCCCATTTGACTAAATATTAACCAATTCTATGTATAGGATTTATATTTAACCCTGCAATTTCCCTGGTATTATTCATGCCCTGCCCTGCTAGCAAGCCCAAGATTGGGTGTGTTTGTGTGTGTGTGTGTGGGGGGGGGGGGGGTGATAATTTCAATACATTTGTGTAGTAGTGGCGAGTGGAATCCATCAGCATGGTTTCCTAGATAAAAAAAAAAATAAAAAAAAAAGTTTCTTCTAAGGTCAAATGTGTGCAAATAAAAAATATAGGAGATACATGACAAGAGAGAACATCAATCTTTTTCCAAGTCTCTCTCCATGTTTATACTGCAACAACAAACACTACTATGACCACATTACTGCAATTAGTTAGATAGTTCATGTTTTACTATGCACTTGTGAAAACCTTTTGTAATTATCAACACCTGCTCTATCCAATTCAAGTAACTCAATGCATTTTTTTTTTTTTATTCTGATTATACTTCTTTAACATGTTTTAATAGTCTTTTTACACTAACTTTTGCACATGCAGAAATAGAGATTATCAATGATCACAGCTTGATATTTGAGACCAAGACGCTAAAAAGTTCTTAAAAACCAAGGAGTTCAGACAGGAGAGAGGCTTATTAAAATTTGACTTCACTAAGTAACCCTATATGGTTTTCAGTGGAGAAGTTATTTGTAGAAACAAATGTATTCTTTGATTTAATGAAATTGTATCACCCCATGGGGTTCAGGGGGTAAAGCCCTCTAGTAAGGAGTATGTAAGTTTAAACCCCATGGGGTCCAGGGATCCAAGCCCCTGGCTAATGCAGAATGAAATCTACAGAATGCATTTTATGAATCCCACTGGGCTAGGGAACATACGGCCATACTGTACAAAGACTATAGAGGCTTCGGATGGTGTGAATTCCCGTGGATTTTGCCGAGTTGGGTTGGATTCCCAATAAAAAAAAAAAGAGGTCTGTAGCTTCATAAGCCAATCTAAGGCATTTTTTATATTATGGTTTAATGGGCATTTTTGTTCTAAATTCTTATTTCAGTGTTTCCCTGATATACTTCATCTCCTCCCCTGCTGAAGGGACTTATCACATCAAGGTTGTGACTGCGACAGAAATGATCACCAGTTTCATTCTCACATGAGAATAATGCTGATATATTCTCCTGTTAGGCCTAATTGTCAAAATTATAAAAATAACCTAATTAACTGCAAGAAATTCTAAGATTGGGAGCACACACAGTAGGTTTCTAATAAGCATTTAAATATTATATTGCTACCTAATGTTTCCAAGTTGTTCATGATATTTACAGGGTCAAAGTGTACATTGTCTTGGGAAATCGGCAAGTGGTAGGGGTCAAGGTTATGTTATATAGTGTAACATGTATTCCATTTTTTTTTTCTTTTGGTACGCAGGTCGGATAAAAATACGAATGTAAAGATTATTTTACCAGTGACTGCAAAATTCATTGGTAAGATGAAATGAAATGGGGAAGTACACATGTATCTACCAGCAAAACTGATATGTCGAAGGATCCTCAACTTACATACACATGCCACGTAAGGGATTTGTTAACAAACTTGCCGACACCAAGTCCCAAAACCAGATTAACATGCAAAACCAAAAATTCAAAATTAAAACTTCTATTTTTTCCCAAGACTTTGGAGAGAGAGAGAGGGGGGGGGGGGGGGGCTACACCATGCTGCTTTACAGAAGCCGTGACCTTAAGAACTGGCTGTGCGAGGGTGTTGTGGACTTAGTCTCGAGTGGTGATATGCAGCCGATATCTTTATCATTTTACCATAAATATGAGGCCGCACCAATTATACCCATGTTATTTTTAAGATTAACTCATTGGTTTAAATATTTTAGAAATACACATGTGATTCAATTAGAAAAGCATTTAAATGATGATCCTAGATATTCTTGAGGGTTACCTCATAGAAAATTAGTTTTATTTGTGAAAATATATGGATAAGCCATAATACTAATGGAATTAGTGATGAAATTTTTTCTAGGTTCTTATTAAGGCGTGCTTCCGAGTACTTTGGAATATCACACTCATGCTCTACAGACACATGGATTTCTTTTGATCCTAGGGTTATTTTTGCCACAGTAAAGGCAGCCTCGCCATGCTCCACCTGCCCAGGTGAGAATGACCAAGTGGCAGTCAATACTATTGATTTTCCACGAGTGGTGACCGTGCCACCGTGACACTCCACATTCTTGAACAAATGGCACTGGCGCCACCGGTTCCCCTCGCACAATATTACCAGGAATGCAATCCGCGTGACCAGGAGCGCTGCGAGGGCGCCGTTCTGCCTGGCGGGCGCCGTCCACACGGTGTGACTGCGCTATTAATAGCTTCCTTCGGCCCGTGACACCGCGTGTTCCCAACTCTCAACTGGCACCACATTATGACAAGAGCATCCCAAAAAGCTGACAAAATTGCTAGCACGTTGCAGCCGAGATGCAGCGCAAGCAGGTGCCCGCGACACTGCGCCCCGAACAAAGCGCCGAGGTGCGCACGTGCCGCCCCGGACCTCCGCCGCCGCTCGGGCCATCTTCCCTCGAAACACTACTGACATGCCTCTCATAATGCTCAAATGTTGCAAGCACTCACCGGGTACACTCGTCTTGTCGGCAGCCTTGGGAGCAGGTTCGGTCTTGACACCTTTCTTAACTACGGGAGCCTTAGCCTTTGCGGTTTTCCCCTTGTTTTCCTTCTCCGCGGCCTTATCCTTCACCTTTTCACTTTGTTTTAAAAGATCCATTGGGTCGACATCTTCATTGTAGAAGAGTTCGTAGCGGTTACGAACCCCTATGCCGTAAGAGTTCTCCATGTTCAACAAGATCCTCTGATGGCGAGGATATTATAAGATTTGTGGGCTGCTTTTCAGCCTTCTCTTCTTCCGATCATTCAAAATGGCGTGAGGCGACTGCTCGGCGGACCTCGGGTTGCAGTCCCAGCGGGCGGCTCAGGAACGGGAATTTAAAGGACATGTGATAATAACACTGCATATTTAAGATATAAGTAAATGTAAATGAAAACTATATTGATTATTTATTCTAATGAGATATATTTTTTATTTCAAATATATCTAGTTAATGAAATAACATCGCCAAAACAATAAAAACATTAAGGCCCGTCAGGTTTATGGGCGGCGGGAACTATTTGCCTATTATTGAAGTTTTATTTTCCCGCACATGCGACTCGTCATGATGAACTGTATAGTCACAGTATTTCATAGGATCGATTATATATACACCGTATTATTTAGCTACGGGTATAATTCTTGTATTAGTAAAAAAAAACAGTGTTTACCGCGCAACCGATACAAAACGGCCAGCCAATCAGCGCCCGAGGAAAAGCGCGCGAAGTTTTCGATTGGTTTTGGCGCGAAAGCCCCTCGCGCCGCGCCAGGCTTATGGGCTCGTAGTGTGCAGACATGTCGGAGAAGTGTCGTGAGGATTCTCAGTTTTCTACGCCTAAACGGCGCCAGAACGGGGCCTTTTCGGGAATGTCGTTTTCCGGGAGCCCCCCCATGACGGATAATACGCTATACCCGTGGAACTGGGGAGAAAACGCGTGTAAAGTGGAGTTAAGTAGCCCGTGCTGCAGCGGAGGGAGCAACCCGTGCGAGAGCCCGGACCTGAGGAGCTGCGACTCGAAGCGCGGGCGGCCGAGGGCGGACGCCATCAACACCCTCATCATCGAAGGAGCACAGTCGCCCAGCAGCATCAAGTGCCCGATTTGCAACCGAGTTTTCCCGAGGGAGAAGTCGCTGCAGGCCCATCTCCGAACGCACACAGGTAAGGCGTCTCCTGGCATTTAACTCGCCATTTTTAAACTGCACCTGTTGTTTCGCCTCAAAACGAGCTAAATTCGCCCCATACGCACGGGAATGCACTAAAACCATAATATATCTGGTGTTCGTGCAGCCCAAAAGTTAAAATTTTCGAAAGTGGGTCAGGCGAGATGCACAGCACCTTGGCGGGAGAATGACGTCAAGATTCCGGTAACGTTTTTAAACCGACTAAAACGGTCCCATTTTCGCCAAAAGCCAAGTGTATTTCCCTCCCTCACGTCCTCTCTCCGATGATCGTTATTCAGCCCTACAGCAAAGACGATAGAGAGACGGAAGAGGGAAAATAAAAGGGGGCGAGTATTTAAAAGATGGTCTCGTGGCGGATTGCGCAACGGGACGCCGCCGCAGGACCTCGTGGCGGGAAGGGCGCCCCAACCCTCGCTCTAGGGCCTCGTTCTAGGCTGTTGCAGGGCGGCCGTTGCACCTTCCTGGAAATTTTGTCTTTGTTGCGGTGATTTGGAACATTGCAGTGGGCGGGTTCGGCTAAATGGCGGGCCGATGGGTGCTATTTAAATCTCGTAAATCAACAACTTCGGCGTGAAAGGTTTTGTTTTCTTGGCGTTGCGGTTAAAATCGTTGCGTTGGATGGATTCCTCTTTTATAAGATTTTAAATAAGAAATTCCGTTTATTTATTTTATATTTTATTTCTAAGATTTTTTTATCCAACGAATGAGCGCAATTCAAAGATCACCTTACTTCCTGTCTATGCAAACCCCGCTATTACGAACTGCTATGACCTGACCCCCCTATACAAGGAATTGACCTGACCCCATGTAACTGAACAGGTCACTCATTATGGCTCGAGATTAAACGACCATATCCCCCATAATTTAAAGAGCGGGGGGCGGGGGGGTGCCCAGGGGTATGTTGGATGTTAAAGGCTCCTGTTGCCACTTCGAGCAAATTGTCGACATTAAATCAACATCGAGTTTTTTACCAGTTTGGTGCAGTTTATTTGCTTGAATTATATTTACATAATTAAGAATGTAAGGGATTAAGACCAATTGGCCAAGATTAAGAATTCGAAACCGGGCAAAATCGCAAGAAAAGGGAAAAAACATTGTGTTGTGTGAGTCATGTGTTAAAAGGCGGGAGCGGAATGCGCGGGAGAAACACATGACGCCGTCTTTGTTGAGATAAAAGGGCCTCTTCTCGCGTTTTCCCCCTCCGAGGTACTGTGAGACGTTGCTTCTTTGTACTTTTGTTTATTGTTTTGAAAAATAAAATTTAGAAAAGAAACTAAATTCTCGGGGTTTATTGGTTTCGATCATTGACATACGTTTCTGTGCGTTATTATCCTAAAAGAACGAATTCATATCGATTGTTCTCCCTTTTATTTTGCTTTTACCGGATCTCTATTTGTATTATTGAACATGATAATCGTATGGTTTGATTGATCAATAGTACTTGTTCTAAGGACGTAATTACTTAACAATTTTACCATTTAATTCATATCTTTGGTGAATGGATAGGGACGTAGATTTTGTGTATTTAAACGTACTCGTATAATCCAATTAAATGTACTTTTATTCATTTAAACTTCCCATCATTTTTAAAAAAAACGTGTAGTTTTGTATATATACACTTGTTTATTTATTTTTCTCTTCTCTTTACACATCAGTTATGTATGAGGAGCAGTATCATTGAATAAGTGTGTTTTTTCAACATTCTAATATTCTAAACAAGCTGTATGTGAGGCACGAAGTGAACTATATATATACATAATTTTATGAATGAAGAAAACACTACCGTGTTGATACTATGATAGAAAACCCCACAATGTAGAATCTAGTTTCTACATTGTGGGTTTTTCTACCACATATTTTTTTGTGTATATATATATATATATATATATATATATATATATATATATAATTGTGTATATGTATTTATGTATGTATCACTTTCCAGTTTATTATTTGTAGTTAAGGATGTGGAAGTAATAATCTCATAATTTTATTTTTTATTAACTAAGAATACCTTTTCCAGGTGAACGTCCCTACCAGTGTGACTACCCAGGATGTACTAAAGCCTTTACCCAGAGTGGGCAGCTGAAGACTCACCAGCGCCTCCACACCTTTCTTCTTTTATCTTAATTCTTTTCTTTTTTCTTCTTCTCTCTCTCTCTCTCTCTCTCTCTCTCTCTCTCTCTCTCTCTCTCTCTCTCAACCTTTCTTAATCCATTACTGCGGTTTGTTTATTTTTCCTTTTTCATATTCTTCCAGTTTTTATTTATTTTCATTTATTTTTATTTTCATTAAAGCAAGACACATGTCTAATATGAACTTAATTCTTTCAGGATGTACATCCCGATTTACTCATGCAAATCGTCATTGCGCGGAACATCCTTACGCAACCCTTCATAGGACTCCTGACCTGAACATCAATCCCCAACTATCCCCTGCAGAATGCACAGATGATGTAAGTTTACGTGAATTGTCGTTAGTGATATACTATATATAAAGCGGCATTATACTACTGTCTGACTGATTGCGTGATTTCATTTCATTTGTTTCGTTTGTCTTATCAATTCTCTGACTCCCCCAGGTTCTACGATGGCTGGAGAAGTATCGCAGTGAGCGCATGGAGCGAACACCTGCCAAGTCCCGCAAAAACAAGCGAGAGTTTGACGGAACCCCCGAGACGCCCCAGACACCATGCACACCTTCTTCTGATTCTGACATCATGTCTCCACCACCTGTCAAAAGAACAAAATCACGCCGTGGTCTGGGACCCTTAATGGAACAACAGCAGAATCACCTTGATCACCGCCCTGGTCCGATTTTCCAGGCACATAATCGGTCAGATGAGAATGCCTACATACCGTCTGGGGATAGTTATGGAGGTGACGAGAACAAGTACGGTGATTACCAGAGACCACCACGTCCAGTGCCAGCGTCGCCAGCTCATGCCCGGGTTCTCAGAAACACAGAAAATCTACAAAGCCCCTTGAAGACGAGCAATAGTTACCGCGGATTTGACATAGACGGGATAAAACCTCTTGTAGAAATCGACGAAAGTGCGTATGCACAAACAGCCCCCGTGAGTGGAGACTTTTCAGTTGAGCCACCGCATATGACCCTCCTGGAACCAGAAGTCATCCTTGCTATGAATTTTACCAATGTGATGCAGTGTGAATCTGAGAATCTTAATGTTCTACCACCAGATCAGCTTCTTGAGGGCGACCACGTTGTGGTAGAATTACCATGGCAGGTAACAAGAGATGGAGCAAT